CAGGACTTGGCCCTTGGCCCTATCATGGCGCGCTGCGACCGCGGTTTTCGAGGATGATCCGATGCGTTGAGTTTTTGATTCGGAATGTAATCTTCGTTTGCAGGATCCATGGATGGTCGGCCAGAGCTGAAGTGATCGCCACAAACTCGATCACCAGACTTTGGTGCCCATGGCTCACCATTAGCCAGCTTACTTCGGTCCAGGGCTTTGATCCATAACTGTCGCCTCGCCAATGTCATGCTGGTCGGTATTCTGAAGAATCCTTTCCCACATTGTTTCGAGTGCCGACTCCTGCACCCGGTCACGGAGCATGTTATGACGGCTGTGCCAAGCAGCATCACCATCAAATCCATACTCGGACTCGGAGCCTAGATCAGATAGGTAGGATAAGGCTGAGAGAGACAACAACGCGGCTAGGCTAGGCTAGGCTAGCTTCAGTCTAGTCGTAGCCTGTGCACGCTCGCTAGCCAGACGCTGCAGCAGTACAGCAGGACTCAGCACGAGGTAGTACAGAAACTGTCAAGATCCCCGCAGTTTGTCTTCGACAGGACAAGCGGTGAACATCACCTTCAGCTTTTGACAGAAAATGGAGAACGCAACACTAGCACTGAATGCAAGGACAGAGAGACCGGGCCCTAGCCCCTGGCCTTGCCTTGGCCGGGCCCTAGCCCCTGGCCTTGCCTTGGCCGGGCCCAGCCCCTGGCCTTGCCTTGGCCGGGCCCTAGGGCCTATGTACAGTACTCGGCTACTTGTACTTTGTAGATCTACGTGTAGATCTACAAAGTACAAGACTACATCATGTAGACTTCTCGGGACTACAGAGTTACGTCACTAAGCCTTCCACAGTTTTCCAGCGCAAAATCTCGGATTGATTGGTCTGCGCTTACAGTTACACGTACAGACTACTGGACTGCACTGGGTTGTAGATGTAGTGTAGATGTATCAACCAGGCTAGACTGCCACCACAGGGAGTCGAGTGGGGTCAAGGCAAAAAAATAAGTGCATTTTCTTGCAGCGCGCTTCTCCGGATGTTCTCTCTCTGTCCTTGCATTCAGTGCTAGCGTTGCGTTCTCCATTTTCTGTCAAAAGCTGAAGGTGATGTTCACCGCTTGTCCTGTCGAAGACAAACTGCGGGGATCTTGACAGTTTCTGTACTACCTCGTGCTGAGTCCTGCTGTACTGCTGCAGCGTCTGGCTAGCGAGCGTGCACAGGCTACGACTAGACTGAAGCTAGCCTAGCCTAGCCTAGCCGCGTTGTTGTCTCTCTCAGCCTTATCCTACCTATCTGATCTAGGCTCCGAGTCCGAGTATGGATTTGATGGTGATGCTGCTTGGCACAGCCGTCACAACATGCTCCGTGACCGGGTGCGGGAGTCGGCACTCGAAACAGTGTGGGAAAGGATTCTTCAGAATACCGACCAGCATGACATTGGCGAGGCGACAGTTATGGATCAAAGCCCTGGACCGAAGTAAGTTGGCTAATGGTGAGCCATGGGCACCAAAGTCTGGTGATCGAGTTTGTGGCGATCACTTCAGCTCTGGCCGACCATCCATGGATCCTGCAAACGAAGATTACATTCCGAATCAAAAACTCAACGCATCGGATCATCCTCGAAAACCGCGGTCGCAGCGCGCCATGATAGGGCCAAGTCCTGTACTCGCTCGTCATTGGCCAAGAAACTGAGAACAACAGCGGCTAAAACAAGTGCTGCAGCTACTAGTGAGGCAGCGCTGCCCTTACTCGAATTATCACAAGATTCGCCTGAAACCATGGACAAGGTTGCGACAGAAGAGGAGGCCAGGTTAGAGGACCGCAGCAGGAAAGCGGCCGTACGTCACGATCACCACTATCTTTACAACGGCGGCGAGAACCCGCTCAAGCAGCGGTCCGGTTGGCGGGATCAACAGCAGACTGTTAGTGCTAGTGCCGGTCACCATGGTCACCGCTTGATAAGACGAGCTTCTATGCACTATGTTGTGTCACATGACCTTCCAAAGCAGACTGAAAAGAGCTACGCTGCGGCCCCTGGGTAGCATGCGCATATGCATGCATGTACTGTACCAGCACTGAACTGAGTGTACACGTGTGCAGTACATGCAGGGGGTCAGACTCAAGGACGTACAGTACGTCAGTAGGCATTGCATGTGTAGTGCACTACTACTACTAGTAGGAGCCTACGTGCCGCCCATGTACCGTCCATACATGTGCAGCTACTGTTGTGGACATGGAAATCCGGTCGCACGTTTAGCGGCCCCAAGGTGCTGGCCATGCTGGATAAGCGGTACACACATGCATTTTAAGCGCTGCAGCGCGCTAGTCGCATCGGATCATCATGTGCCCTGCACGCAGCGTTCTGTAGGCGCTGAGGGCGCCGGCCAATTGACCGGATTTCCATGTCCACGACAGTAGCATAGCATGGTCTAGATTGTTTTGGCGACGACTGTACGTACCCCTCCCCCCCCCCCCCCCTTCGGTATGGAGTTGTGTACAACTCCTTGATCTTGCTGGAAATCCCGTACCTATGACAACTTCTACCGGCTTCTACCAACTTTTTCCTGGTAGAGCTGGTAGAGGAAAGTAGACTGAGATGATCTACCCTTTTGAGTAGAAAAACGAACACTTCTACCGAAAGGATTGGGAGACCTTCAAATTCAAAGGATCAGTTGGACCGAAAGCAGTAGTTTCTAACTTCCTAACTTTCTACCCAAACCTGTGAGATCAGGCATCGATTTTACCCGATACTGGTACTGTATCTCAATATTTCAAGTTGCTCTGATTTTGCGGGCATTTCCCGTTTTTTCAATTCTTCAACATTTTGCCGGCAGAATCTGTCTGGACCTACTCCTTAGGCCCTACATGCTACAGCTCCTGGACCTGTTTCGACCTTTAGGTCTCGTCAGCGGAGCTCAGAGTTTCTTGCACAGCGAGTTTTGCACGAGGGAAAAACACTTTGACGCTAACCAGAAAGAGTGCTCAACCAAGCCGAGGCGAGGGAGTGTGATACACATCTCAACAACGTCTTACCCTTTCAACGTGAATTTCAGTCGTGTCGGTCCCATTCCGAGTCCTCTGAACCACAAGATTCCACAGGCCCCCGAGTACGAGCGTAGTAGCAACTGTGGCGCCGGCATTTGATAAGTAACTAGTTGGACGACTCAGCTCGGCCTTCACATTCACAAATGCATGATTGTACTCTCTTAGTAATCCGATTACCGACCATTTCCGAGTGCCGGTGGCAACCCGTCCGTCCGTCAGTTACGAAAATTGTCCAACCTTCACTGAGTCTTCCTGTGCATGTGGCGAGCTTCAGGCGGAAGCGTGTGATGCAAGTCCAGGACTGTACAGGCTACTCGACTGGTTGACGTTATCAAGGGCTTAGGTTGTTCATCCAGGATGATCCTTCCACCGCCACTGGTGCTACCATGACATGCAGCGTCCTCTACCGCCTTTTGATGATAGAAAACAATCATAGTCAGGTGATTGACCCAGTCTCCGCGGGATGAGGAGTACTTGGTCCCACCGTGCGCCGCTTTGTTGTGCAGCAGGCATTGCGGCTAGTTGAGCTCTGGGCACACACTGCTGGCTTGGCTAGCCATGACAACTTTTTTACTTGGACAACTGAAAGGACGCTAACATCTGAAGCAGGGTAACAACCCTTACAACGTTTTCCAAGATGGATACATAGAGCAAGGAGAGAAAGAAGATGACTGAGACTCCTTTTACGCATACTGTTTACTCAGCTATAATATATGTAGCTGAGCGCGCCTTAGCTTAGCACACATGGTCGCACAAATCAGACAGTAGGGAGAGTTGAACCAATGAGCAAGCGAGAAGGGTGAGAACACCAACGAGTCGATACAGGCGTGGGGACGGCAACCAGGCTAGTTGTGAAGGGCTTTCACGACTGGCCTGGACTGGTCTCATCAGACTTATGGAAACTATCTTTTCACACACACACACACACACACACACACACACACACACACACTCGCGCGCGCGCGCGCGCGCACAACCGCGAAGTGCGAACCAAGCGTCGATGATGAGGGGCTAGCCGGCTGTTCAGTGTTCACCCGGTACCCATACATGGGTTTTTTTCTTTTTTTTCTTCTGTTTTTCTCTCGTTTTTTTGCGTTTTTCACACATACAATTGTTTTCATTTTTTGGTGTTGTGTTCTAATCATTCGCCATGCCACTGTCAATTGTATTCTGTTTGCCCGTAAAAGAGGCCTTATATAATTATCATACAAGGTCATGGGAGTCATGAAAGTTGAAGAGAAACAGCAGCTTACTTACAAAGTTCGCACTTTTGCGCGGTATTGCACAATGACATGTCACTGCGGATGATGTGCCAATTCACGCAATGACGTAGTGCACTAAACTGATCTTTCACCATTCCTGAAAAGGCTGAAATTCCCATCATCATTGGCGCGTAATGCTCGACAAATTGGCAAATTCTGCTCGAAAAGCAGTGAAATTGACAGAACCCGGCATACAAACCTTATAGTCCGGGATCCGGATTCTGAGAAATCAATTTTTAGAAGCAGGTGTGCCACTTTGGAAGGAGGATTTGGGCATGGTCCAGTCAGATAGGGAAGGGGTTTAGTAGCATCAAGAGTTTATGTACTCTTGGTAGCATGGATTCACTTGTCGGACTTCTGAAAGCTGTGCCATAAGCTTGCTAGCTACGAGGGGGTTTTCATGGCAATTTCTCATCGCCAATTTCAAGATCTTCGTGCACCTGAGCATCAATTGAGCACGCTCACATGAAGCATTTTACTCGCAGTGAGGGAAATGCATCAGTACAGTACAGTATTTTGAATTATTGAATTATTTCAAAAACGTTGTCAACAATTTATAGGCTATAGCATGTAGCACTCGACTCGTCTCGACTCGAGTGAAGGATTAGTGGTGTCGAGGGCACGTTATAACCAATATCAAGAGTACATAGGGTTATGTACTCTTGCCAATATCTACTGTACTCGAAAAATCGATGCACTTCCCCAAAAGTACTTCCTCTCCCAAAGATGGAATCCATGACGACAATGACGCTACAACGTTGCGTACGCACGACAACATTTGGGATGTTTCCCGCGGCAGCACGCACGTTGTGCATGTGCCAAAAGTGGGAAACTGCGAAAGTTCCGATCTTGTGGACTTCTCATTTCCAGTTGAGCCTTCGGAGTTTGAACTTCTTCGAACATGGAACGAATGGCCGATGAATAGTGTTTGCTTTGCTACGGCTAGTGGTACGGGCTAAGGAAGATGTCAAAGAGAAGCAGAATCTTCCTGGACAGCTTAGACAGCCAGTCTAAGAGCTGAAAGTCGGCGTCGATGCCCTCAGCGGCTCGGTGAGCTGGCTCAAAGACAAGCCTTGCTGAAAGGATCACGTTGTTGTTGTGGGCGGAAAAGAGCGGATGTGTTACATCCTTACCCTGGGTTAGTCACGGAGCACAGCCATAGTTTCTTTACGATGGAGAAACTAAATTGCTGGAATTTGTGGCAGATTGCCCACTTCATCCTGTCCACAAGTGTAGTAACATTGTGGTTGGTAGAGTTTGCTCTGCCACCTCCTCTCTACGACTCGTTTCCAACCGACGATCGGTATAGACACCTGCCAACTCCTGACCAAGTCTTCCAGAAGGTAAGCGACGCATGATGTAAATTGTAATTGTTTCTCACTTCTTCTGTGCTCCATCGTCACTTGATGTCACTTCAACCGATCTGTACACACTCGCATACGAACTGAGCACACCTTCAAGCACGCACACACATGCACACGCACCCATGCAAGCAGCACGCACACACATGCACACACGCACACACGCACACACACACGCGCGCGCACACACACACACACATCATCTTCACATCCTGCTACTTGTACACCTGCAGTTGATGCTCTGGATGGGGGGGGGGGGGGGTCTACCCAACCCAACCCTGCATAAAGCAAATGCCTTACTTATTCCTTATTCCTTATTCCTTATTCCTAACTTCTGTGAAACTATCTGTGACAGCAAGCAACGATGTGAATTGGTCTCATTATCACACTGTTCGCAGCAGGAAGTCGCTGCTGTTATTAATTGCATGTAGGTATTGCTATCGCTTGCTAAGTGTCTTTTGTGATGGTTCTTGCTGTTTTAGATAAGCCCGCTGGGAGTATCAGAGGTACGTACATGTGCATGTATACCTGCCCGCAACACTACCCAGCCATGTTATGGAGCACACCTTCCCTGATGGTAGCAAGATTGCTGCTTTGCACTGCTGTGTCACCAAGTCCGCCCACAGCAAACAATTCTGCATGAAGACGCGTATACTTGAAGTCATGATGTCGTGTGGTGTGTGTCTATCTGTCTGTCTGTCTGTATGTATGTATGTATGTATGCATGAGTGTATGTGTATGTTAAAAAAGAGAGGACCAAAAGTTTACAAGTAAGTTATCCGTTTTGTCCAACACTAATGATTATTCCTTTTGGTCCTCTCTTTTTTAATTTTAACCCTTGGCTCTCCATCCATATCCTCTCCATATGTGTATGTGCTTGTGTTTGCCTGGGCCACCAAGGTTACTCTTCAAGGTTACTCTTAATCTGCTTTCTGTGCTGCACTGTCCAGGATGGCATCCATCGCATCATGGACACTCCTATTCTGTCCACCATTCTGGTACGCGGCAACAGCAAATACACTACTGCATTGTATACCGCCAAGCCACTATCTTACAATGATCAGAAAACCGGACTCTTAGAGATAATGTGCTCCTTCTAGGCTTCTAGCCAGGTGCAGATGTACATGCATGCTGAAGTAGGGTATTCAGCCTAGCCTAGTAGGGTGGCCGATCATTAACTGGCAGGGGGTCTCATTTGAAGTGGCAGCGCAACGCAGCTTCAAGCTGTAAAGCACAGGTTTCGCCGTGCAAGCCTTTGTTGAAGACTTTGTCTAAGACAATGCTAGCTCACGTTTTGTGAGTGTGTTGCTAACTTGCTAAGACTGACAGCACTGGTTGTAAGTGTGTTGCTAACTTGCTGAGATTGCCAGCATCGGTTGTGAATGTTTACTAATTCTTAGTCTTTTGGTTCCCTACAAAGCCGACCGACATGCTTTACCACACTGCTTTGCCTGCTACAGTGTACTTGCAGTGTACTTGCAGTGTACTTGCAGTGTACTTGCAGTGTACTTGGCTTATGATGCATTAGAATAGTGGCCGGCTATGGTACCTTGGTCCGCCATGGTTTAGATTTTTGAAGCCACTGGCCGTTTCACCGTCCTCTCTTCCCGTTCTGTTCCTTCTTCAATCCGTGCAGGTGTACTACTTTGGATGTTTCTACTTTCGCTTCCGCCGGAAGTCCTGGCTCATGACTCTAGTAGCGTACACTGTTGTGCTGGTGTTCTGTATAGTGCACTACGCAGCGCCCAGTTACTTTGACTGGAAGTAAGTAAGACCTCCTTCTTTCCCCAATTGCATGTCTGTACAAGTAAGAAGGAGAATGTAGAAGCTTCGTTGCCTCGTCACTTGGCTAAAGGACAAAATAATAGTCATTCCGCTTTATCAGTTTGTTTATCTCAAACATTGATTCAATCCAAAGATTACAGGTACACGGCTTTGTTTGCAGCCATTCTTAAAATGGAATCAGTGTATAAATTAGCTCCTCAGTAAAGGTATTTATGTAACTTGCACCTGAAAGTCGCCTTGTAAAACCTGTTCCAGTTCCATTCTACTATGCAAGCCCAGTATGAGTGTGTGTGTGTGGGGGGGGGGGGGGGGGGAGAGAGAGCTGGTGTTGCGCACTTCTGAGCATCATTAGCTGGGTCCCATTCTGTGCTTGCTTCTTGATTGTGTGTGTGTGTGCGCGCGCGCGTGTGTGTGTGTGCGCGTGCGTGTGTGTGCGCGTGCGTGTGTGCGCGCACGCGTGTATGTGTGTGTGTGTGTGTTGCATCGCAACCTAACCTAACCAGGTACCTTGGACCTCGCGTTGTCGGTATTGCGCTGGAGATTGCTGTCATGACCTTACTCAGCACCATCTCAATAACATTCATTCAGGCTGACCGGCAGCGCTTGAAATTCCGCCTGGTGGTGAGTTACACATACACACTGTGAATGATCATCAAGTAGGCAGAGTCAGACTTCTTTTAGGGCTACACATACAAGCATGTATTAGGTAGCACTGGATGTTCACGCGGAATAGGTGCCCTTACCAATACGTTCATACAAACATAATGTACATGCACACGTGTACACTTACACACACACACACACACACACACACACACACACACACACACACACACACTTACACGCACACACACACTTACACACACACACACACACACTTACACACACACTTACACGCACACACACACACACACTGTACTGTACGGTACTTTCGTTCATATCACTCATTGCTGGTAGTCATGTTTGCACGCTGTGAGATTATACGTGCAGATATAGTCATGTATATAGGACTACAATCATGCAGCCTGGACACACACACACACTTGCAAGAAGTACAGTGCTGGACAGAGAAATCCAACCTTGTGAATAAAGTAGCGCCGCATTCGAGTGCACAGGCCAGTATGTGTAGTGCTAGGGCTGCGCAGCGCCCGGCGCTATTTTATTCATGAGGTTGGATTTATTCGGCCGGTACTGTACATGAGTGTACATACCACACATGCTTGTACTGGTGCTGGTGCTGTTGGTGTTGGTGTTGCTACAGAGAGACCATACGGGAAATCAGACGACCCTGACCAAGGCAACTCTAGCTTGGAATATAATGTGCAACTATATATTGTACTTCATCTGCCTGACCATGTGGACGTCAGTGTCGTATCAATCGTTTGTTTTCATCCGCTCCAAACAAGACATGATCTACCTGTGTCAGGTTACGACCGATGTGAGTAGTGAATCTAGTGATTCGTTCTATTGTACCAACACATCCTTTTTCTCCATCCATTGTCTTTGACTGTGGCTAAAATGCGTGATGACCAGTTGCATTTGCAGTACATGTAAAGAGTACTAAAGATACACACTACTTTGCTATGATTGTAATTTCTGTTGGCATTTTTCTCGGCAACCCAAAGAAAGTGCGAGAATATGTTACTCATTTTATGTGTCAAATGCATTCTTTCATTTTGGTTTTGACTGGAGACTCCTGATAGCATGCTATATCTCAAGCCTGTGGACCTTGTTGCATGTACACAATGTGCTGATCTCTACAGAGCTATCTTCTACCATCTGCTCACAGGTGATCTGCACACCATGCCAGGACACAACACCAGAGGCCTTGGTGGAATGTAAGGCTCAGAACAGAACAGCTTCCTGTGCAACGGAGGGAATGACCGTAAGTTACGCAGCAGCTGGTGTAATTCTCATATTATTCTACGTGTAGTGCATGATACTAGGAGTACATGTACGAGCGTGCGCCTGCGATGGGTGGCTGTCATACTGAGTTTTCCGGAGCATACTATTGTGGTGCTGTAGCATGCGTAGTGCATACAAGTGAAATTCTATCAAATCACCTGCTGCACAACTCCAGCTCAGCTGTATGCATTGCGACACTCTATGTCACCCGTCTGCATCGATTGTAATGTAATGCAGGAATTTTGTCGCGATGCACACCTTGAACATACAGGACATACAGTTGGCTGACCTCGGATCCTTTATTATTATTATTATTATTATTATTATTTGAGGGATTCCCCAAAGGCCGAAGCCTAAATCAAGGGGGAGCTCCGAGAATAGATATACGTGTACAATAGGGTGCAATTTGAATTTTTATAGGAAGAAAATATTAGGATAAAAAAGATTAATGTGAAGAGGTTAATTTTAAAGAAGTCTGAGTAGAAGCAAGCGAAAAGGGTACTGGTAAAGAAGGGGGGTAATCAGGAAGTGAGAAAACCTTGAGGATGGAATCTATACCTGTGGAAATGGGACTTAACGTGCCGGCTAATACACCACGGGTTTCAGATATCCTAATCTCGGTAGGCAGGGAGTTCCACGTGGTGATCATGAATGAAGTAGGAGTGGAGCGGAAACAGGGACCAGTGTGAGTGGGCAGGAGGTAAAAGTGAGACGTTGTGCACTCTTGGATAGAACTATGTTGAAATTATTGAGGGTTTCCGGTTATTGGCGGGTGAAATGGTAAAACAGTTTGAGGCAATGTATGTGCCGCCGCCACGCAAGACTTTCCCATTCCGCAGCTTCAAAACGTTCTCCATGCCATGAGGAATGGGCACTTTCCGACGATGTAAGTACTGCCTGGCCACGCGTGCTTGCAATCGTTCCAAAGTGTCAATATTCCCTGCGGTCAGTTTGTTGTTCCACAGAGGTGAAACATACTCGATGGAGGGACGGACGTATCCTTTGTACAGGCGGGCAATGACAGCAGGGGTCAGATTGGGTGACATGTAGGATAGCAGAACAACGCGACGGCGAAAGTTGGAGGTGACACTATTGATGTGGGTCTGGAAGGACGGGCGGGGATCCAGGGTGATTCCTAGATGGCAGTGGGTAGTCGAGGGACATAGGTCAGTGCTGGGGCAGGAGTCTGGGCGGGGTCAAGTTTGCCGAATACAACACGCACGGATTTAGCGGCATTAAACCTGCCACCAAATGTAGCAGCCCAGTCCATCACCATGTTCACTGCTGACTGGAGCTGTTGAAGTGCTGCTGCTGGCGGTCGGAGTAACCCCAGAGCAGTGTCATCAGCATAGAAATATGTGTCCGTCCTGTTGCCATCAGGGATTGATCTCGGGAGGGTATTAATGTACAGGAGAAATAGGTTGGGGCCAAGGTGGGATCCTTGAGGAACTCCCGCCGAGATAGGGGCGAGGGGGGAAAGGTCTTCGCCAACTTTGACCTGTAACTGGCGAGCGCCAAGGTAACCTGCAAACCAAGTAGTAGCCGTTGGGTTGCATAGAAGTTGTAGAAGGGCCAGAAGGGTAGAATGCGGTACGCGATCAAATGCCTTGGCAAAATCCAGGAAGACCACATCATACTCCTGGCTGCTGTCCATGCTCTTGGCGGCGCTAGCCGTTAGATGTATCAGTTGGTCAACTGTGCTCCGACCGTGTACAAACCCGAACTGATCCGAAACCATTACATCTTCATTCCTAAGGAACCTGCTAAGACGGCGCGCGACAATCGAATCAAGCACTTTGGCGACCGAGTTCAAGAGGGAAATAGGGCGGTAGTTCTGGGGTTCAGCTGTGGAACCTCTCTGCTTATATATTGGTACAACTTGCGCGTTTTTTTATTTTATTATTATTCACAAACCCGTTTTCCACGATGTTGGCAAGCGGCCTTGTGTTATACTTAAATTAAAGACTTTGCAGAGGGAGTGGGCAATGACACCAGCGGTCTCCTTCAGAATGTGGTTCGGGATGTCGCCACCGGCAACTTTATGGACAGGCAATCTCTTGAGAGTATCAAAGACGTCGTAGGCAGAGATAACTGAGATATCGAAGGGGGATGTTGGCGTAGGAGGGGGGGGGGGGGGGGGGGGTGCGGAATAGGTAGTTGTTGGGTGTGGGTGTTGGAGCATTGGTCGGAGAACACGTCAGCCAGCAAGTGCGCCTTGGAGGCGTCTGTGGTTACAACCTCGTCTCCAGACTCAAGGGATGGAATTGGTGCACGTGTTTTAGATAGATTGGTGAGCTGTTTGGCTTGGCGCCACCACTGGTACGGACTTCTTTCTCTGTCAACCTGTGCGCTCATGTTCTCCAGGTAGATCGCTTTAGAACGTCGAGTGGAGGCTTGATAGGCGTTGGGGGCAACTTTAAAGGCAACCCAGTGGGTTGTTAAGTTTGTGCGCTTGGCTAAACGGAAAAGGCGGTCTTTTTCTTGCAAAGAGTGGCATGGAGGCCAGTGTACCAGGGTGTATCTGTTCTTCGCTTTGTGGAAATAGTTCTCATAGGCTCGTGTGACAAGATTGCCCTAGTAACGCAGGAATGCCATCTATCCCATACTTGTTCAACTGAGGACATACTACTGATGTCAGACGAAAGTGGAAGATTCCATATGTGGTCTCTGAGTGCATCAAAATCGGTGTTTACGTAATCAGGCACGACACGTGACTGACTGGGAGGTGACTGGGCAAGGGAAGGCAAAGCAACTTTGAAGACAACGGGACAGTGATCGGATATGGAGGACAGCACTTGAATGTCACATACATGCTGTGGTGCGTTTGTGATGACAAGATCAAGGAGCGATGGACCCTGGCGGCCAGTGGCAGAATATCTAGTTGGAGTGTTGTGGACGAGTTGGATGAATCCAAACTGGTCTAATGCTTTGAGTAGAAGCTTGCCTTCTGCTGTAGACGGGTCTGTAGAGTTCCATGAACGTAGTTTAGCGTTGAAGTCACCCACTAAGATTGTGGGCAAGTGTGGCTGGTTCTGTTCAAAGGTACGCCTGAAGGAAGTGAAAAATTGGTCGCGCTCGTCTACGGTACGATGTGGCGGGCGGTAGAAGACATGGAAGGCCATTGGAAGCTGTTGAGTGATGCTTACTTGAAGACAGAGATGTTCTATGTCCGGGCCTTCCATTTGTGGCAGCCTAGTAATCCTGTGGGAAAGACTGGATTTGACATACACTGCTATACCTCCTCCTGTGCTGCCTAGCATGGCTGTCTTTCGGTCACGTCTGAATACTATACATAGTTAGGGATATTTACACTGTGGTCAGGGAGGGATAGAAAAAACCAAGTCTCAGTGAGAAAAAGAATATCTATATCGTGATTTTTAATGAATGCTTCTAAAATAGAGAGTTTTCTAATTGCACTTTGGCAATTGAGGTGTGCAACTCGGAGCCCCGGAGTTCCAATTGTTGCCGGTTTGAGCTCCCCAGTGCACCAGCTCTTGGGTGTAGTTGTGCTGCGTTGCTTCGTGTTGTTGCCAGCGGGTCAATGTTATGTGCTTGCATATACTCTTCTGCAAGGACCTGCGAATGAAGGATTACTCTGGGCGAATCCTTCGTCGCAACAACTTCGATGTGAGTGGTGCGCAGATAGCAGATCTTTCCGACCTTTCTCATTGTCTGGAAAGCTGGTCGCAGCTTCTGCTGAAATTGGCGTTCCTCCCTGGTCAGATTTTCAGAAAAGTACACCTTTTTCCTGGTCTCGTTGGTTGTACGGAGTCTGCTCCGTAGCTGGAGCATGCGCTTGCAGGCATCTGGCGTTGCAGTGCGGACTAGGATGGGACGCGGTTTGAGTTGTGGTTGTTGTACTGACGTACGCGTGACACCAAGTCTCTGTGCAGCAACAATGTCAGTTTATTGCAGCGGGAAGCCTAGTGTGTCCCGTACAAGGGTCACAACTGTGTCTATGGTTGCCGTACCTGTATCGTTTGAACTGGAGGCCAGCTCCCGTTCCCCTTCCCCAAGGCCCTGGATGATGAAAGAGGTTGCCGTTTCTCGCTTGGCCTTGTCTACCGTGTCAAGGAGGCTTTCTACCATGGGGTCAATGGCTTGCAATTTGGCGTCAATGTGATCGACTCTACTTAACAGGGTAGCTGTTCTGACTTCCAAATCATCTCTGATTTCATTTTCGAATTGGCTCACTCTTGCCTCCAAATCCGTGCATGCTTGCTTTATTTCTGTTGTCTGGGCAATGATTGTAGCCATTCGCTCATCTAGAAGCTCCGACATTGTGGAACGGAATTCACTCACTAGCACTTCTATCGACACAAATAGGGCTTTCAAATGCAAGATCATAAGGAGAAGCAACTTGGAAGAATGAGTATGTATGCAAAGTGTATCAGGGGAATGCATGCAGGGCGATAGTGTGGGTTCGAATCCCAGGTTATGTCTAAAAAAATAGGAGAAATGAAAAATTTATAACATCCCTTTGCTTTTTTGCCTAGCTCATCATGCATGTTATTCGAACAGATGGAAACTTTTTGTAATACAATGATGTAGCCGATCAGTTCGTTGTTGTATGGTTGGGCATTGTAGCCGTCATGGTCGACGTAAAACACTATAAGACCGCAACGAAGTTGGGGCCAAAGAGAAAGTTCCATCAGTTCTAATAACATGCATGATGAGCTAGGCAAAAAAGCATAGCGTAGGGCCCTGAGCTTCCAAGCTCTCTCGTTTGAGGGATGACCCAGAGGCGGGCAGCCTATCCAGGGGTTCTCCACTTGTGCGTATAATGGCACAGTGGAGTATGTGTATGTGTAGGCCGTGCGACATGCCGTGTTCTGATGCGGTTATTTTCATTGCGTTATGTCCAGGCTGGCTTCTGCTTGTTCAATTACACGCTAGGCTACTTCACATTTGTTAGAGGTAAGCACTCAGATGAGTCAGATCACACAACATGTACATCTAGTCGGCTACAAAGACCACGCTGATTCTCAAAATTATTTTTTAAACTGATGCTGACTAGTCCTCCATGCTCTGAACAACAGAGTTCTTCTGCCATGGGGCTTTTCACGCTACATGCACATATACCGGTATGCTCAATCTCTGTAAACCGTTAAGTCACGGATAAAAGCCGGGCTTATGAGCATATAAGTCACTTTCTGCATCAGGCTTGCATGCAAACCATGCTTATATGAACCACTGATATTTTTGCCAGGCTTGTATGCCAGACTTCTACGCGCGACACGCGTAGATCTACAACTGACTACCGGTATGGCGGCAGTTTTACTACGCACCGTACACAGCGCATGCACTCTTGACCTACCCGATCCGCGCTTGCATAGAAGCCAGGCTTCTACGCGCGACAGGCTTATATGCATTTGACCGGTTTGATTTTCAGGCTTCTACCCGCGATGTGCTTGTATGCAAACCCGGCTTCTACCCGCGATGTGCTTGTATGCAAACCCGGCTTTTATCCGCGATGTGCTTGTATGCAAACCCGGCTTTTATCCGCGACTTTACGGTATGTAGCAGTTTTGCCGAGGACATAAAATACAAACAACATTGCACTAACACCGTACACATTACATACCTTTATCGATATAATTCTGTCTCCTTGCCCATCACAGCACATCAAGCTGCACTCTAGGAGTCCTCTCCTCCACTGGGGCTTTTCTCTCTGCCTCTCAACAAGTCACAGCATTCTTTGCAGACATCCATAGGGACACAAACAGTAGAGGCCATTGAAACACGCTGTGCACGTGAACATTGTGCCACAGGTGCACAAATTAGCGCGATACGTGACAGGAACTCATCGTCTTGCAATCTTCACCAACATTTATCACGGAAGAAGTGGGCGATGTAGTACCTCATTGGTAGAGACATTGGTCACAGTGGTGCGGACTTAACGCTACGTACCGATAGTGGGTGGGAATTATAACACTGATGCTTCTTTGGGTCAGTTAGCACTATATTTACTATGATAAGCCAGCTGCGATAGTACTTCCAGTTGCACAGGAAGAACACAACACAGGACATTGGATAACATGCCTAGATAATACGTTTCCACACAATCAACACATATATTATTATGGGCAACATAAATAATAAACTGAATAAAGTATTTACAAAGATGGTGAGTACACACGAGAAAACACAAATCCACAACACACCAGCTGTACGATTAGCAACAAAGAGCCATGATGCATGATGACCAACAAGTGTAAGCAGTTGGCATGCAGGGTGATGACACTGTGTGTGTGCGCCTCTGATCTGGGCTTGTGCACCGCAAAACAATATCCTCTGTAGTGCGTGTGTGTGCATGTGTGCATGTGTGTGTGATTAACTTTTTTCATCGTGTTGATACTCTTGTATATGTTGTTGATGTGCATGCTGCGCTTCTGTTGCACAGTCTTTGCTTACGCTGGTGGCTTGTTCTTCGTCTGGCGCAACTTCATCAATGCCATGACACACTATGCTTGCATCAGCAGACGGCTGGTGCTACAATGGTGGAACAGCAATGGCAAAGTACAGCTGCAACGGCTGCACATGGACTCACTTCCATCCCTGGCTGGGTCGCTGAGTCGCTCCTCCGTACAGCGCGAGCGCCTGCGTTTGCTGGCAAGCAGTGGAGTGGACAGCAGTCCTTGCAGCAGTGATTGCGAGGATGCTGATTCTTCACTTCTGCTGCGGGCAGAGCTAGATTCAGTCCACAATGAGCCCTACCCCACACTTATTGATGTGTGATCTCAATCCCTAACCACAATGACCACCCTACCCCCTTGATTGGCTTCTAAGCCCAGGGAAAACAGAAGCTCTGCTGGACTAGGTTCCTATTTTCACCAAGAATCTCAAATTCTTCTTCAAGTATATCCAATTTTGTATCACCAAGCCTCATCAAGCCCCCGCCCCCCCCCCCCCCCACACACACACACACAGACAGGCAGACAGAGACACGCACCCGCATACACGTTTTTCTAGGAAATCTTTCAGCCGGCATATGCTGCGCATGCAGATATTTTTGCTTAAATACTCTCCCATCTTTCTATATCTATTTTCGTTTGCGTAGCTTTGATACTCTCTATTTGTATGTCAATATGCAGAGTCAGGTTTTGCGGTGCAAACTGATACTTCTAAGTCTTTACTACTTACTGCTCACCCTGGCCTATGCCTTCTTTGATGATTCCATCCCTACAATTGCTGCCTTCTAGCACTCTCCTCATTATTTTACAATCGAAACAACAGTTACATGTACATAGCGCCGGATTTTTCCCCTCAGCTCGCACAAGCCTGTGCTTGGACACACGCATGTAACAGTTCAGTATAAAAGTGCAATGTCAACTCTCCGGCCTCACCGTCCTTTCTTATAGACGATCACTATTATAGATTTGCAGAGTATTGATCATCAGCTCTGTTTTCTACTCTTCTTCTTTTTCACCAGTATAGCTCCGGAACTTCACGCTTACAATGTCATATTAAAAATAATAATAGTACTTCAAGTACCGTATTATATCTCGCGCATGTAAGACCATGGTCTTATAATCGAAGAGTCTCTGTTTTCGGTTCTTTCACAGGTGCATTTTCGTTCGATTAGAAAACCATGGTCGGTTTCGTGATTTTCATTCACTTATAAGTGCATGTTCTTATAAGCCAGAGTGTTCCTACATGCATATTCGTAAATAAGAACATTTAAACGCGCGAGACTACGGTACATGCACCGTTATGTCACTTTACACAATCCTAATCACACATGCACAACGAGTCTTGTACAGTGGAGAAGTAGATGTCAACTGGTCACGACCCGTAACCACTGGCCAGAGATCAACATTACGTACAAAGAACTCTCGTACACCGCAGTCGAGGCAGAACAACGGGGTGGTAGATCCTTGCGACGTGAGCCTGAGGAACTGACACCGTATCTACACGACAGATGCAGAAAGGCACGCGCACTTGATCATACTTGTGTGCCAAACGGTGCAGTACAGAAATTCCACCATCAATCATCGGAGTTGCACACCCCAGGTTATGTACTCTTGCTGCAGCCCCTAATCCCCCCCCCCCCCCCCCCCCCCACACACACACCCACAGCTCATACAGCTAGAAGTCAGGTGATAGTCGTGTTAGCTCAACAAGTGCACCAGGCACATCAGTTACATAAAGAGTAAACAATACTGGCCGACTCAACATGAGATGACGAAAAGAAGTGAAGAAAAAGCAGGGGTTAAGGGGTGCAGCCATGACACGTGATCACACCATTCGTGACCTAGCCTCGTAAATCATGATCGACGCGGCCATAGCAACATTCAAACTGTTCACCCCGTCAATCACGGGGACGGATATCTGCTCAGATGGGCGCTTCATGGCAAAGTCCAGTCCCCTGAGCGAGAGGCCTCTAGCTTCGTTGCCAACCATCAAGACAAAACCTACGTCTAGGTCACCCCAGTTGGCTTGCTTGTAGTCCTTTTTCTGCAGCTGCAATAGAAACGACCTGTAGTCATTCTGCAGGTCAGGGGGCAGGAGTGTTACGCCCTTTGGTTGCATGGTGTCGGGGGAGGAATGTGAGAGCAATACTCGTCGCTCCTTGCTCAGCAGATCGTCCACATCTTGCCAGGAGATGTCCAGGACGGGAATCTGCAGAACGGTGACTGCCGAGCCACGCACCACCTTGCTCAGAAACGGCTTGGCACAGTCGACCGCAAACACTGCCTGGCAGCCGGCCGCAGCAGCGGTGCGAATCAGCACGCCCATGTTGGTTGGGTCGCGCACAGAATCACACAGCAGCACGAGCGGCATCTGCGGCGTCAGGTGCTGGATTTCATGGCCGTGCTGCTTGTACATCCAGCGACGATAGTCTCCCGCCTCGTAAGAACGGCGCTCGAGTCGTTCAGACTCCGCCGGGCTCATGAAGCGATCAAGGACGTGGGGAATCTTGAACACACCAGCAACAAGCTGCGGTGAAGATGTCTGGCAGAGCTCTCCCATGATATGAGAGTCGACGCGCAATGTACGTACATTATCTAGGCGAAACGTACGGAATGCATCTTCTCCCTCCTTGCCCTCATACAGACACGCCAGTGGTCGGTAGCCAAACTTGATGGCATCGCGCATATTGGCCATGCCTTCCAGCAAGAAGCATTGCTTGGCCTCACGCACTTTAGACGACTTGATCGAATTGAACAGTCTGAAAGGACCAAGGGTACAAGACAGCAACAACAACAACAACAACAACAACAACAACAACAACAACAACAACCAACAACAACAACCACCACCACCACCAACAACAACACCCAACAACAACACCCAACAACAACACCCAACAACAACACCCAACAACAACACCCAACAACAACACCCAACAACAACAACCAACAACAACAACAACAACAACCAACAACAACAACAACAACCACCACCACCAACAACAACAACAGATAGAGCACAGAAACAATAACTCTTTGAGATAACCACATCGTTGAGCTTTACTAATGTCCGCACCTGCAATGCACTGTAGCCCTGATCACACAATAAAGACATTAAATCTTTTAAGATTTAAAAGATAAGTTAGGGTGCGTTCTGAAATCCTCTCGGAAAAATTCGAGACTCTCTGAAACGTTCGAGAAGTGTTCTTATATCCTCATTCCGAGCTTCAAAGGTCGTCGAAACTTGGGAGATTAGAGCGTGTTGGGGCAGCGCATGCCAACAAGTGCTAAAAGCCAAGTGTTGATCATGAGCGTCTCTTTTTGCTACGTGTTTAATGTTTATACGCACAGCATGTACTACAGTCGTGCCACTCAACATCTTTGGCAGTTCGCGTGTGCAAAAGATCTCCGAATTCTCCAAGACCTGTTCCCTAATTATTCCAGTTTCTTCGATTTCCAGGATAAATTTCTCCGAGAACCTAGAGAAAATTCAAACGCACCCTTAGAAATACCCCCCCCCCCCCCCCCCCCAACACCACTATAAGTAATAGTTTGTACAGAGTGATAGAACATGATAAACTAGTACCTTGCTACTGTGCTGTTCTCCAAGACTCGGTTCTTTCCTTTGACAAAGGTCTTGTCAGGATACTTGTCATCGACCTTGAACAGGTCCTCATCGTCACCTTCAAGTTTGAACAGGTCATCGTGTGCACTCTCGGGATCAAACAACTCATCAAGCGAGTCCACTTGTGCAGCTTCTCTGTCTCTGCCGCCGCGTGAACGATAGGACCGCTACACAGATTTTTAAAAAAAAGAGAGGAGAGAGAGAGAGAGAGAGAGAGAGAGAGAGAGAGAGAGAGAGAGAGAGAGAGAGAGAGAGAGAGAGAGAGAGAGAGAGAGAGCGAGAGAGAGAGAGAGAAGAAAAAGAAGAAGCAGCCAACTAAGTGGATCATGAGAGAGAGAGAGACAGGGTGGTGAGTACTGGTGATGTGCAAGAATTTCAATGTTCTTGCTCTTGCTTTGCACTGCAGTACTAAGCAGTACACATGTAAAATAGTTATAACCGGCAATGCACCTGACATAGTCAATCTCCGGACAGCTGATTGTCTGACCTTGTTAGGTCTCATCAACAGAGCTCAGAGTTACTGGCCGAGCTGATTACAATAAGGTCTACATGATAACAGCATTTTTAAACCAGCTCAAAGCATCCATGTCAGAGTGACACATAAATTGTCACAAAATATGTATGCATCAGTACCCATGGATTATATTTGTGAGATCTTACATGCTCCCCAGTGAAAAACAGAACGAAAATATTTCACCCTTCTCCTACTGCAAGGTAAAGACACATACAATAATGGTGTGAAAAGCTTCGTCAAAATGTCCAGAGGCTTCTGTGCTCCGCATGCCAGTTACCGGCAGTAAAATTAACAATGTATACACTACGGATCCGCGTACAGAGCGAGTCAAGAACATGGGACACGGGGTAACTATTTCCCATGCCCCCCCCCTCTACTATTCTGACCTGGCTAGAACCCTGGTGCAGTCGTCATCCCAGCAGCGACCGTGCAGCTTTTCTTCAGATTTCGAAACCCACCCTTCCTGTGAATCCACACAGGCTGATGGCACGCAGTCCTCATTGAAACCCACATATCTCACGCACAAACTAGTATGCTGGGAGCCCCAATACATAAAATAAACTCAAAGGTCTCTTATCCAGACGCCTCAGATATGGGCACGTCTCTCTACCGGGCTCCTTTAGCTCGAGCTCCTATGGTAAAAGTGCCTCGATTTTGGGGGGTTCGAACTTTTTCCGTATGCGCGAGTGCTTATTTATCAACGCCAACCTGTGTAATCCCCATGGTTTCATCCATGAATTTTTTTTAAAATCCTGAACATGTGTTGTACGTGCCAAGAAAACTGTATTTTTCCCGTAGCTATGCAGAAGACGTTACTTCAGTAACGTCTGGCGCTAGCCAGGGTCCACACAGCTTTAATTTGGTGTTTGTGTGTTTGTGTCACGCCTGGCGCTTTCCCGTATCTGTCCCGTACCGTACCGTACCATCAAACACAGCTGGCCACATACAGCTGGCCGCACTATTCAAATAGGGCTTTCAAACGCAAGATCATAACGTGAAGCAACTTGGAAGAATGAGTATGAATGCGAAGCGTATTGGGGAATGCATGTAGGGCGATAGTGCGGCTTCGAATCCCAGGTAATGCCTGAAAAAATAGGAGAATTGAAAAATTTATAACATCCCTATTCTTTTTTTGCCGTCATCAACTTCATCAAGGCGGTAGATGGTGTTGTACTTCCCTCTACCGTACCTGTCGCGTACCTGTCCCGTACCATACCGTACAATCAAAGACGGCTGGCCACAATGCATCTTCAAATCGGGCTTTCAAATACAAGATCATAACGTGAAGCAACTTGGAAGAATTAGTATGTATGCGAAGTGTATCGGGGGATGCATGCAGGGCGATAGTGCGGGTTCGAATCCCAGGTTATGTCTAAAAACAAAAAGTAGAAATTTATAAGAATTTATAACATCCCTATGCTTTTTTTGTCTAAGTCATCAAGGCAAAAAAGCATAGCGTAGGGCCCTGAGCTTCCAAGCTCTCTCGTTAACGGTTACGACACATGGTAGATGAGCTGTCCTGAGGCACGGGCAAATCTGAGATACAGGCAGTGCCCGGTCTAGGCTTTCCCCAAATCGGCCTGCCGAAAAATTTGTCGAAAACGAGACTTATCGAAAAATCGCTAAGCTTTTCGCCAATTTTGGAGGGCTCCTTGGAGAATCGAAGAAAATCTACCAAATGTTGTTGCAAAGTGCGTACCGTATTTTTCGGAGTATACCGTACTGGCAATATATGTTGCCGCAGTGAGGCCATGAAGCGTTACATTGGCACATGTTTGCCGCACGCAGGGCGTTACATGCAAAGTCGCACAGGAGCCGTTAGACAGGTTTCTATATTGCCGCAGTCCTTTTTTTGCTATTGCCGCATCACTTTTTTGCTATTGCCGCATCATTTTTTTGCTTTTGCCGCATCATTTTTCCTTTTCATCCACATTGAAGGCACAGAAATTCAGTTGCTATCCAACTGTTACAAACCCGACGGCAAAGGGCGACAACGATATCAATAGAAGACTGTATATTTTAACTATCAGAGTGCAAAACGACCTCGGGAAAGAAGAAACCATTGAGATCGCCAACCACTGAATGATGCGCCTTCGAGTGTCAGGACTTCCTGCTGCGTCCAGTTTTGAACTTTTCACCACGCGGTACACGTGCTTTCACAGTTTTCTGCCTTTTTTTGCAGTGCAAACTGCAATGAAAAGATCGCCGCACCCCGCCGGACGCGCATTGCGAACTCAACGAAAATTTGTCGCACTAGCCTGGTCGCACGTTACGCCGCACCCCCCTGCGTTACGCGTTACGCGGCAACATATATTGCCAGTACGGTAGTGCGCACCTTTGTATAACGCGCACCCCCAGTCTTCATTGAGGGTGCGCACTTCAATCTTCATTGAAGTACATGCATTTCATATTCGGAGCATAGTGCGCACCTGCGATTTAGGGCCTAAAATAGCACGTCTAAAGTGCGCACTATACTCCGAAAAATACGGTATACGAACGAATGATGTTGCTGCAAGCATGACCACTCAAGCTCTCTACTTCAGTACTTGTAGTACTAGTGTGGTCAGGTCGTGTGACTCGTGTCCTTTGACTTCCTCTCAAACAAACATTAGCCATTAGGAAGACTGTTACTAGTAAAATCCCCTAATCGGCCAGGAGAAAAATTTGCCGAAAACGAGACTTATCGAAAAGTCGCTAACCTCTTCGCCGATTTTGGAGGGTTCTTTTGAGAATCGCCGAAAATCTACCAAATCTTCAAATATCTCACCAAATTTGAAGCCAATATGCCAACAATTCGTTTCGCCGATATTCCAATATATTCCAATTTTGCAGCCGATTTTCGAACAATCAGCTGATTTTGCAGCCGAATTTCTTGTATTTTTTTAGCTGAGCGAAAAGCCAAATTTGCGAAAAAAAACGGGCTAATTTGGGGAAAACCGAGCCCGGTCCCAATGCGCCCGAATAAGAAACGTTGAAGTGCATTTATAAGTTTCATGGAAGTTTGAGGGAGTTGCGTTTATTATTATTATTATTTGAAACTCGGATGTTGAGCCATAAATAAATGTAAAAAGGAAAAGGACATATGGATACGAGTTAAGAGCAACTCTCCATCACTGTAACTGGATACTATAATTATAGTCAGAAAGTGCAATAACTAGGCACAAAACTGACAGAGTACTGAGACATTCGACGTCCTGACACCTAGCTTCAACACATCTCCGTAGCGCTACCCGACAGCCTTCCAACTTGGAAGGTTCAAGGTTATGGAAAGACCAAAGAGGGGAAGGCAAGCGCAACGAAAACGAGCAAAAGCTTCAGTCCCAACGGAACAAAGAATGTCGATTGTTACTGGACGATGACGAGACCAGTACGATATTTGACAAAGCGGTCTAACTACAATTCGAAGCAGCAAAGCAGCACACCACCCAACTTGGGTGGGTCATAAATATCAAAGATAAGTAAAGAAAGGGGAAGCTTTGCGAAAACGAATTGTACAAGCCGAAAGCCAAACTCCTACAGTACTCCTCATGCATGACATTGTGATGGACTAGTTGACTACAAAACAAGTTGTTTCACACGACGTACGTTTCGCCGTATGGTTCATGACGGCTCATCAGGTGTGCAATTTGAAACTCGGATGTTGAGCCATAAATAAATGTAAAAAGGAAAAGGACATATGGATACGAGTTAAGAGCAACTCTCCATCACTGTAACTGGATACTATTTAGTCAGAAAGTGCAATAACTAGGCACAAAACTGACAGAGTACTGAGACATTCGACGTCCTGACACCTAGCTTCAACACATCTCCGTAGCGCTACCCGACAGCCTTCCAACTTGGAAGGTTCAAGGTTATGGAAAGACCAAAGAGGGGAAGGCAAGCGGAAAACGAGCAAAAGCTTCAGTCCCAACGGAACAAAGAATGTCCATTGTTACTGGATTGTTCTTCTTTTTCTGTTTTGTGCCGTGCTCGTCATGGTTATAAGTTGGAGTTGAGTGTGTTAGAAGCTGTTTGTCAACGTATTCATCAGCCTAATCTGTGTGTCCAGAAGGACAGCATTATTCGTTTGAAATTGTTTTAGTAACAGCTTGTTCTGTTTGTTTGGCCCTGGTTGGCCATGGTGTCATATCTTGTGTCACAGTATACTAGTAGTCCTTAAAAGTTCGTTTTAAAAGTGCTTTCGCAGTTTTTCCTGTTATTACCTTGGTGCTAGGATTATCATTTTCATGGGTGTTGTTTCTTCTCACTCCATTTCTCTTTATTAGTATCTTTCTGGATTGTTTGTCATTAGTACAACGTAGCTTCCTGAGGAGTGTTGTGCGAAAACTAGTTCGAAGTAAGATTTTTTGTTCATCATTTCTTCCATATCACATTTTTTCTTTCTTCCATGTTCTTCACTGCCTTCGTATCCACTCGTTTTTTGAATACAATAAAAGCCTTTGTGAAATGTCGGTTCAGCTCGTTCTGTTGATTGCAATTCTAAAACTATTGTCGCCTCGACGCCTATTTACATTATTATTATTTTGCTATTGCTACGTTCAATGCCCGCCTCGTCAGCTCGATTTATTGCTGCAATGATGCTTTTCTGCATATTCGTATCTTGATTGTCATGGTGCAATAAGAAACTTGCCAGGGCGCTGTATAATTCAAGCACAAGCATGTAAAATATGGGTTTGGACCACTGAGTTATCACCGTGCATGAAATAACACGCAGATGTTGACACCAGTCCTCCCCATAAAGGACATGTACATGTATGATCTGAAAGTTCCCACCCTACAATATCGGCATCACTTGAATTCTACCAATGCAGGAACAACTCACCCTGGCAGCAGCAGCAGTCCATAGAGACTGGCGCGTTGACCGAAACAGAAGATGGATCATGGCGCAATCCCTAAGGGATTGGACAGCAGGCGTTAGAGCACCATGAAGAAACTACACAAGGGCCTAGGGCGAGCATGAATCCAAAATACTCATTAGCTGAAAATAGACTTGAAAGTTGAAATAAAAATTTATTGTGCTGACTTGAAATTGTATTTTTTTGTAGTTCAGCGTTCGATTATTGCGTTGGTTCCAGGAAACATCACAATCATTATCATGTGCATGCAACAATCGCGTAGTTTAAAAAAATTTACAGTTTACAGATAACTAAATCGCTTGAGTGGCCATTTTTGCATAAACCGGACCCATTTTGGCCCTATTTTCAATAGAAAACCACAAGATGGCCACAAACCTGAACGAAAATCTTCAACTCGAGGTGCCAGCTAGTACAGTACAGGATCACTGCATCATCATGATCAGGTGCACTGGACATCAGGCCAGGATTTGAAGTCCTGGACCTGGTCATATCACAGGTCTGGTCATGAAGGAGAACGAAAACGCAGTCACCAGATCACACAGAAACAAAACTGTAGAACTCAACAGAAGGAAGAATTATTTTTGTTCGTTGTAGTTTGTCTTGAGATACTCCAGAGCGGTCCAGCTGGATACGCTGGCTGGTATGGCCTCAACTGGGGATGTTCATGAAGACAGCAGCGTCTGCGGTGGTCTCTCTTATCAGCCTCTCACAAATGGAGAAGAAGCCATGGAAACTAATGATGACGATACCAGTCAGGAAAATGGCAATAATTCATCTGAGAACGGGAAAACTGAGGAGACACCATCTCTTTCGGAGCAGAAGAGCATCATTGCTCCACTGCTCAATTCCAGCTTGGTGGCAGGAGCACTATGGTATGTGGTCGATGCGAGATGGCTGAAGAGATGGAAGAGATATGTGGGCTTGGACGATGATTTATGGTCCACAGACTATGTCGGTTCAGCTTCAGACAACCCTGGACCTATCAACAATTCTGATATATGTACCGATGGTGCTCTCAAACCCGTATTATTTGATGAAATGGACTACTGCCTTCTGTCTGGTGAAGCATGGAACAACTTTGTGTCTTGGTATGGAATCTCAGACAGAGTTTCCCCGATTGAGCGAAGAGTTATTGAAATTGGTACGCTGCGGAAGTTGATGGTGGAAGTTTATGGGCAACAGATTAAGCTGTGCGAGAGCGACGAAGAAACTCTCATAACCAAGGAGTTCAGCCGTACGGACACGTTCAGCCATGTTTGCACTGTTGGCAAGGAAGTATTCCAATACCCGGCTGAGAGCAAGTGCCGCGTGTGGACTTTCCTCACTGACTATGAACTGGTGACGGACATGACCATCACACTGGACGAGGCCGACGTGTCACCTGGTGATAGAATCATGATCGAACGGCAACACGCCGATGGGAAATGGCCGCGCGCCACTCTGAACAACGCCGATTCTGGAGTGTCGTCAGCCAATGACCTCAATTCCAGCGCCGGGGCGGGAAACACTGTTGGTCAACAACGTTCCAGCTCCAACTACATCTCGTCGTACTATTCTGGTGGCTCGTCCTGGTACTCTGGCAACCAGAGACCGACTACGCCAGGATTGTGTGGTCTGAGCAACTTGGGTAACACGTGTTTCATGAACTCCGCGCTACAGTGTATGAGCAACACGAGGATGTTGACACGCTATCTGCTTGAAGAGAAACACGTTGACGAGATCAACGTGGACAACCCGCTTGGCATGCAGGGTCAGATCGCCATGGTCTATGCACGTCTTCTTAAGGAGATATGGTCAGGCCGATTCTCGTCCGTCAGTCCTAGAGAGTTCAAGGGCGTTGTGGGTCGCTTTGCACCTCAGTTCTCCGGATTCGCACAGCATGACTCGCAGGAGCTGCTTGCTTTTCTTCTTGATGGCTTGCATGAGGACTTGAACCGTATCCGCAAAAAGCCGTACGTGGAACTGAGCGACTCCGATGGCAGGAATGATGAGGAGGTGGCCACCGAGGCGTGGAAAGCTCACCTGAAGCGCAATGATTCCGTCATTGTTGATATGTTTCAGGGCCAATTCAAGTCGCGTTTGGTTTGCCCCGTGTGCAATAAGGTGTCGGTGACATTTGATCCGTTCATGTTCCTGTCACTGCCTTTGCCTATCAAGAAGACGCGTGTCATCGAGGTCACCCTCGTCTACACAGATCCGGCAGCCCGGCCTAAAGCGTTCAATCTCTCTGTTCCCAAGCGTGGCACGGTAAAGCACCTGCTGCAAGAACTCGGGAAAATATCCAACATCCCTGCTGACCAACTCGTCTGTGCTGATGTGTACAGCCATCGCTTCCACAAGGTCTTCCGCCCGTCGGAGATGGTGTCGAATATCCTCGACCGCGATGTTATCTTCGCCTATGAGGTGGAAGCAGAGGACGTGGGCGATGGTGACAATGTCACCTTGCCCGTCTACCATCGAGAACAGGACTTGACACCACGCTCCACCTACTCCACCTACTACTCCTACTCAACTCCGTCACCCACTCTCTTTGGCCTGCCTTTCTTTGTGACCGTTCCTCGGCGTGGCACCACCTATGAAGCGCTCTACGAGAAGATTCTATTTCAGCTATCTCGCTTTGTGAAGCCCGAGCGATGCACTCCATTGCCAGAAGAGCCAGCCACAATGGCTACCCCAGCTGTTGAGAGCCTGAACAGCAACGGGTCCACCCACGGTAGCAGCATGGACGCCAGTGATGTCAAACAGGAAGAAGCTGACCAAACCGATTCCAGCCATCTCGAGCAAGAAACGGACAATGGCAACGGCATTGAAGCTGATGCGTCTGGTAGCGGCGACGAGGCTAGCGATGATACTGACGCGAAGCCAAGCCCCATAGCTGACAGCAAGGTGCCTGTTCTGTTCCAACTGTCAGTTGTAAACAGTTATGGTGGCACATCGATCTCGAAATTTGAGAAAGATGGGCACGAGCTGGATCTGCTGAGTCACACGCACGTCGGCGTCGACTGGGATGATGCACGCAAGAAACAGGCATACGATGAGGAAGAGGCCGATGCCGTGTGTGAGAATTCAGAGAGCGAAGGCGCGGATGCAGCTGATGCAGTGCCAAAGAAGATCCAGCTTACTGACTGCCTGAAGCTGTTCACGACAGAAGAGCAGTTAGGTGAGGATGATCCGTGGTACTGTCCGCAGTGCAAGGAGCACCGTCAGGCCATGAAGAAGTTTGATATTTGGAAGCTACCCAAGGTGCTCGTTGTTGCCCTGAAACGCTTCAGCTACACGCGCCAGTGGCGTGACAAGCTGGACACCATGGTGCACTTTCCCATCCAGGGTCTCGACTTACGCGAGTACGTCTTCGAACCTAATCCTCAGTTTCCAGCCATCTACGACCTGCATGCTGTTTCCAATCACTTTGGTGGTCTCGGTGGTGGACACTACACCGCGTATGGCCTGCACCATGACACGCAGAAATGGTACGACTTTGACGACAGCGGTGTCTCGTCCATCACGCAGAATGAGCTGGTGTCACAAAGCGCGTATGTCTTGTTTTACACACGTCGTGATGTCGCTGTGCCACCACCTGCCATGAATGGCTTGGCCGGCAGCAGCAACGGTGATGCTAGCAGTGCTGGCAGCAACAGCGATCTTGCTGCTGAAGCATCCACCAGTGAAGCCCTAGCAGATGCTGCAGCTGATGCTACACCATCTGAAGCTGCCGATGAAGATGTCAGCATGGTTGATGAGGAATCAGCTGACGTCTAACTCCTGCCAGCTGCTGACCAGAGGAAGTCGGTATTTACCCTCTTCTTTTTTTTCTCTTTTTGTCAGTGTGAATGATACGTGTACCTGCTGTACGCTGGGTATTGTTTCATCCTCTGCATTATTGTGAACCAGACACATTGATTGTGTGTGGGGAATGGAAGTATTTAATAACGTTTGATCTTTGGTAATCAGTCAGTTTGATTCTGTGCTTCTGCAGGTGTTGTTTTTACAATGTGTGAGATAAGATGTAAGTGGTTCTTCTCACACGTCAGTATTCTGCATCTCCTCGTGTCTGCTTGTTTCTTGTTCGTTTGTAGTTCTTTTGTTTGTCTTGCTGTCCCGTCTTGCTGTCCCGCCTCTTGTCTCAGCAGTTGCGCACAGGGAGAGTTGTTTCTTACTTCTTATAATTATCATATTGATTTAATTTGCCGCAATGCATTGCACACCTTAGTGGACCGCACCACCAACAACTGACGTCTGCTTGTTTGTACATGCACCTGCTATTATTGTCCCTGTTTTATGAATTTTGTGTTCGGTCAGATGTGACCTCTGCATAGAACATACAGTGATCATTTTTGTTCTGATCTCAATGACTCTCTGCTTTCTCCTGTCCTTGTCCGGATATGTTGATTTGTTTTGGAACTCGCTTGTACTGCTGAAAATTGAAAGTAGTACATAACATGTCTCGCACCATGATTTGAGAGTAGAGCTGTACAATTCGTTTTAACTTTTGCTGCTTGGTTTTACATGCAGCTTTCCGAGTAATATTTCAAAGTAAAGTTATTAGAAGTGCAATGTACATGGTGTGTGTTTGCGTGTGCGTGTGTGGTGTGTGTGTGTGTGTCACTGTGTGTGTGTTTGCGTGTGTGTGTGTGTTGCCAGACTGTGACCCTGATGTTTTGCTGAATGATGCATTTGTTAGGTATGAAGTTGGTTGTCTTTTAAAGATGCATTTGTTGGTGAACGTTTGGCTGGTGGTGTTTGACTTTGGCAATGGGATCGTCAGCATACATGTACAGCTCACGTTTACTCCTGGATATTTGACAATTGTAACCGAAATCATTCAAATGGAATCAGGGCCATGGTCATCAGAATGGACAAACCGTAACTTGGTCAGCAGGGAGCAGTGCAGTACAGCATTTACTACTCCCTGGAGGACCCTGATTCTCAGTTTGGGAGAGATGGAAATAGTTGTGAATCATTATGATTGATGGTTGAAGATAAAACTCGCTGACGTGTGGATATCTGAATACAGTCTAGTAATAATTATAGTACAGTAGTCACAAATAATTTTAAAATAATTCTGTCACTTGCAAGCACTGCACTGGGTTCGGACTTCGGAGTTCTTCAAAAAGTTCAAACAAGTCGTGACGTCGTGCAGTTAGTTATGCCATGGAACGACCTCAACGAAATCAAACGAAGACGAGCTCGTATGGAAAAGGAGTTGCGGAGTGTTTCTGAAGACAATGCCACTAGGGGACTGGATTTCGTTTGCGCTCTTCGGCGACGATGATCCTCGCGGCCGTGATGGTCGCAATCGGCCGGGCTTTGAAACACCCCCTTGGGATGGAGACGATAACTTCCCCCGTGGTTCTGTGGATAAAGACCTGGAAGGCATGATGAACATGATGGATCAGATGATGAGCAATTTCTTTGAGGGACCGCACTCACGATTTGGTGGTGGCGGTGCTGGTCGTGGTGGATTTGGCGGACCCTGGGATCGAGTTGATCATGAAGATCGCTCTGTTGCCTACGATCTTGGACAGCAACCCTCTGGTCGGAGTCTGAGGCACCACTATTTACATGATATGCCTGAAACACCACCATCGGCAGCAACAGCACCGAGCACCAGTGATAGGCATGTAGAAGCTGCACCTGGACATGATCCTGTCAATCGCTCACGCATGGGGACGGCAGCTCTGAGTCTAGATGAATGGCCGTTCTTTAACACGCGCATGCAGTCCAGTACAAACTGGCCCTTTTTCAGCGGTCGCCATGAGCAACATAGCGACCATGGCCCCGATGATGTGAAGAGCAATGGATCACTGCTTGGACAGTCCGTCGTCCGGACAGCCGTATACTCAAGCAGCAGCGTACGTCGGGCTGACGGTAGCGTTGAGACCACCACATACAACCGAGGCTCTGATGGGCAGGTGAAAAAGACGATAACGCGACAACTCCCTGACCAGAGAAAGTTAACTACTTACGAGGAGACATGTGATGGTACCAAACCGGCGATCACACGCGAGGAATACTCACCTGGCATTGATAAGCCGTCGGCATCGCCCAGTCATGTTGACCAATTCAATTCTGACTGGGAGCAAAACAGGCATGCAATGTCCGGGGAACGTCAGGATCAGGCGGCTCCATTTCCTCGAATCTTCTCCCGCTTGTCGTCCAGACTTCCCAGAACAGATGTGGATCGGCCTAACTGCCCGGACGGCGAGTGTGATGAGCAGCCTTGTTCAAGTGGCTCGGTAACGTACGACTGGGTTCGGTCATGGTTCCGGTGATATGACAGTTGCGTTGCACGACAGTGTTAGTTTGGTCGGTGATGCCAGCCTGGTGCTGGCTAGCTTGTGTTGCGTAGAATGTATTCATAGACATGACTTGCTACCTCAAGGTCCCGTGACAACGTGAATAAACTATGTTAGTATTCCGATTTCTTCTTCCATCTGCTGAACTGCTGCTGCTGCTGCTGCTGCTGCTGCTGCTGCTGAAGTGCTACTGCTGCTGTCATCACCACCTACACTGTAGGAAGGTGTATGTCAATGCTGTTACTGTATGTCAATGCTATTACTGTATGTTTGTGCTGACATTGTCGCTTGTGCTGTGCGCTTGCTTCAGACCATGCTGTTGTCAAAGCTTGTCCCGCCATTGTTTCATTTTATGCTCACTCAGGTCTATCCGAATTCCGAAGAAGCTCTACGTATTGCAGTAGTAAGTGTTTTGAACAGGTCACCCTGCTTTCGCTGTCACTGCATGATGTCCATTATCAACAGAAGTCTAGGACAAACAGCGCTTATTTTGAGATTTTTAAAATTAAAAATGCTGGCATTGCTCACTCGGATACCTACTGTTGTATGTATACAATTGAAAGAAATCTTGTGTGTGGCCTATTAAAATTTAAAACTGAAAAGTAAGAATGCAAAATGTACGTCTGAGAATTTCATTTTATTTTCCTCGCATATTGCAAGTGTGTATTGAATTTCAATGCATGTATCTAGCCAACTCCACTCGTAGCCAACTACTGCATGTGCCGGATTTCATCATTCTGTATACCTAGTTCCGTTTCAATAGCACACTGCATTCGCTTCTAACAAACTTCACATCTGTGTTGACTGCGTAGTACGGTACTGCTCAATGAGATCCAGTCGAGTTTCTCAAGTACGCGCCGAGCGTTGTGCAGCCCTAGACCTGCCAACACTGGGCTGCGAAATGGTGCAGGGCGCAAACGAGTGGTGTGACTGGATTTCACTGAGCAGGACTAGAAGTGCAGTCAAAGGGTGTAGTGCAATGTTGTATTTTAAATTTTAATGTTTATGTACTCTTGCGTACATGCCTTGCATCAGGCAGTGAACAGGTACAGATGAGATGAGAAAAGCAAAACAAAGTAAAAGAAAAACAACAATTGCAACAATTGCCTGCAAGGTACGTGTACCTGTACATGGAGATGTAATTCTTTTTTTATAACAATCGAGCTACTTCGAAGTAGAAAGAACTTTGCCATTCGGAAAATACCTACGAGACTTTTTTTTGTAATTCTCGAGCACACATCGCCGGGTGTTCGTGATATCAGAAATCAACTGTAATAATAATGTCAAAACTGAAATTTCTGTCAGGATTTCTTTCAGATTGACTTGAGCCCTCTCCCAGTCAAACTGTAACCAAACACAGTTCATGATACCAAGAGTTCATAACCCCATTATGAACTCTTGATGATACACATCGACGTCATCCTTGCACAGTGCTACCCGGCTGCTTCAGTAGTAATTGGTTCTTAGCGGGGAATACGCTTTATAGCACTCCCTGATTTTTAGTGTAACCCCCCCTCCACCTAGTTAGATGTTCCGTACCCATGTCAATTTGCCTATTCGTGTTTAAAACAAGTTGTTTTGCTTTCTAAACAACAGGTCCTTTCCCACGTACTCTTTTTGGGCTTGCAATATAATTATACCGGTTATAGCCTTTTATAGGTCGCAGCCTGGATTTGGATCAATCGGGGAATAAGTAGAACAGAGCGATACTACCCGTAGTGAAATGAAGTCAGCTATCAGGAAATGTTGTGAGGCAGTGGCGCTGACAGCACTAGTTACTTCTGAAGTACATGTAGCATTTTATCGTGTGCGCGTGTGTGTGTGTGTGTGTGTGTGTGTGTGTATGAAAACAGTGCTATGGTTCATGGTTGGTTTTATGCATGTCGGACTGGGTCTGTAGAGTGGAACCTTTCAAAGATGACACATAGAGACCGGTTGCATGAAGTTCCTGATGTTGTACAATCTAATTACCTTGCTATAATGCATCATCTCAACGAGATTAACCGGTCTATCGATTATGAGTTCTATATGCTATGCTTGCGTTGACTTGAGCACCTAGGTTTGCTGTTGTTGATTATTGCTGACGACACTGGGGGGCCCTGTAGCGGCGCCTAGCCACACCATGCGAAGACGTCGCAGGAGCAGATGTCGTTGATGCCAGCGACGCTCGAGTTGCACGCACCCCGCTGCTCACTTCTCTATTGGAGAGCTGACGCCCCTGCAGCCTGTGTAACCTGTCTGTCGTGGTGGAACCGTCTGTCATAGCTGCTTCTCCGCCGCCGCCGCCGGCATTATCCGCAAGCTGTGAGCGGGGTGCTTGACCCGCCCCAGAGCTGCTGTGGCTTCTCGTACTTGTCTTCCTGCTGCTGTTCGACATGCGACGGGCACTCAACTGGGTCACATTGGACGAGATATCTGCAGCCACAATACAAAAGGTCACAGACAGAGAAACTAAGTTGCAATTGAACACCCAGGTAATCCACTTTTTTTTTTTTAATTGCCATTGCCATACACGCTAGTGTGCATACATACGTACATACATACATACATACATACATACATACATACATACATACATACATACATTAGGGGTGAAACGATTAGTTCGAATATTCGAGTATTCGTTCGAAAATTTCAAACGAGCGAGTATTCGAAATTTTGCACTCGATCGTTTTTCTTAATTTTTTATTATAATTTTTTTAGTACTGTATTGGCATTCTATTTTTCAAAAACTCTGGTTGTACCGCTCGTCCACTGGTATGTATGCATTATGCATGCCTTTGAGTCAGTATTTTATGACTTGGACGATGCAATCACCACGGCAAGTCACGTTAGTTAACGTTCTGAGATATGAAAATACTGATGAAAATCGTTACTTTACACTCTGTACAAGACGTTGGCGACTTTTTTCTATGTTCACAGATAATTTCTTCCGGTCGAGAACTCACAAATCTAGCGCTTTTGAATTTTGATATAAAATACTCGAAATAATCGGATACTCGATCGAATATTATGAATGAGTGATCGATTGGTCAAAATAGATACTCGTTTCACCCCTAACATACATACATACATACATAGTGCAGTGTATTCACTTGCTGTGTTGCATTGCATCAAGAGTACATACCCCCCCCCCCCCCCCCAGAGTGTGCAACGCCTGATCCAGCTCTGCATGGGGTCTTGGACGAGCGTAGTCGGATCTTCTGATGTCATGCGTACACACCATACCAGCACAAGGCCGGTCTCGAGGCAGGGCACCGTTATTTTTGATCCGAGATTCCCCGCGACTTCCCGGGTTCCCCTCAGACGTGTACGGCATTATGACGCAAAGATCCGATTACGCTCGAACAAGACCCTATGCATAGCTGGATCAGGCGTTGCACACTCTGGGGGGGGGGGGGGTTATGTACTCTTGATTGCATGCTTTTGTTCCGACACTGTTATGTGTTCCCTACTTGAAAGTTCAGCAATCGCACGTGCACAGCGCGTACCTCTGGCCGAGTGGAATAGTTGGCGTCGACTTGCTGCATTGTCACTGCTCCTAGACACGTTGTCAGCCCCTTCAGGCATGGCAGTGATGTCATGCGCCCCCTCCACATTCAGAATATCGTGACCAGACCGAGAGCCGATGGATACACGCGGGTGAAGATGCGACGCATCCGGGTCCGGTGGCGGCGGTGGGCTCATGGCGAACGACGCCGCAGCAGCACCGAGAACGCTCTCCTGAGCGCCTTGCGAGCTGCCGAAAACTGGGGCAGTCGCGCCGCGGTTCATCAAGTGTGCCATGTGTTCGTCCGTCAGGTACAGTGGGCACGTGGGCAGGTTGTTCTGATGCAATGACATCAGCGTGTCGATGCATGTCATGCCGCGCAGCTCGTCGTGCTCAAAGTCCTGCATTGGCGGGACGGCTAACCAGGATTCATTGCGCTGCAGCGTGTGTGCCGACACGAACCACCTGTCACAAACCATGGGGTCAAAGAGGCCGGAGTGTTTGTGACGGACACAACGCATTTATCACTGAGTGAAATGGGAGTGTGCACGAGTGATACACAGGCAGGAATCAAAGACCTGTTCACCATGCTATTCTTTAAACATTCATACAAAAACAACCATGAATGACCTGCACGATGTAGCCAACCAGTGCATATGTACGTGTAATACTGCTTATTCCCCGATCGATCCAAGATGTAGTCAACCAGTACACGTGTAGGTGTAGTACTGTACTACTGCACTCGAGGTGCAGCTGTATGCGTGTCTTTCGCTACTTACAGATGGTGTTTGACTTCGTTCACACTGAGCCGCTTGCTAGCATCATACTCCAGCATTCCTTCAAGCGAGAAAGGCAGCAAGTGCACACATTTGTGTTTAGGTGTGATGCATCGCAAGGGAAGAAGGCAAGTGTACCAGACGTGTTATGGCCATGCCGTTGCTCAATCTCAGATATACCAGTTACAAAAATGGGCTTGGAATGGCCTCCATAACCACGAGTGTCCGCACCAATAGGCACAATGAATTGTCACATCACCACGGTACTAAGTAAGAATGCCCCCCCCCCCCCCCCCTTCCGGCAACATGCACACTCACTCATACCAATGAATAAAGTAGCTTGCACACGAGGTTTTTTTCCGGTGGAGGCTGTGTACCGGTACGTGCATGTGCCAAGCACTGTAGACACAGATAGTCAGATACCTTGTACTTACCCCGGATAAGATCCTGCAAGTTGTCTGAGAGGCCAGTGGGCATCTTGTATTCTCCCTTGGCCACAGTCTTGAAAATCTGAAATGTATTCTCGCCCATGAATGGATAGTCTCCAGATACAAAGTGATACCTATCGCCGTTATAGCCAAAAACAAATCATGTAAAGACACACACACACATTGTGCATGCCCCATGCACAACACACACACACACACACACACACACACACACACACACACACACACACACACACACACACACACACACACACACACACGTATGGGCTCACTGCACTTTAAAGTTGCAGTAAGCAGGCGAAGACAAGGTGTAGAACCTAGATCAATGGCATCAAGACATCTGTCCCGGGATCCAACCGCACTTACCCCCCCCCCCCCCCCACACACACACACAGATGGTCATTTTAGGTCTTGACCCACAGACAAAGGTCATTTCCTGCCTTGACTTATTCTGGGTTCTACCGGGCCGATGGCCACAGCATGAGTTCCATGCTTGCTTTGCTTGCCAGAGGGAAGTACATATACACGTTATGGGTGCTTATAGCCACTCCCAAATGCTAGCAGGTACGCGGGGTGGGGTATACTGAAGGAGAGACCGATGGTAACAAATGCACCACGGGCAGGCCAGGGTTTCTGTCGAAAAGGGTATCCTGAAGAAATCCGGTACCAAACATGACGAGGTGTCTGGAGAATCAATGTGATCAGATACCATGGATACTTGTAGTCAGAATGCATTACAATAGAGTACAGTCGTGGTAGGCGTAAATTTAGAATTCCTCCTCAAGCTATGTTCACAGAGTGGTTGCATAATACCCAGCATGCATTTAATACAGGTTTGAAATTTCTTTTTCCCATGATGGCCAGTGGCCAATAAGAGACGGGTGTTATTGACGTCGTACTAGGGCAACACCAGCTGCGATATTTGCCGCCATTGCCATAGAAACCTAGTTACTCGGTCTTAAAACGACTGCTAACTGTCAGTGACATACACAGTGTGTAAGGCTTACAGTGTGACACCAACTCCCCAGATGTCCAGCTTGAATCCTGATATTGCCCCGTGGCCCAGCGATACCTCCGGTGGCTGGAAAACAGGTGATCCTTGGCTGCTGTGGATGGAGTCGTCATTGCTGAACAAGTCCAATTGCTGAACAGACAGACAGACAGACACACACACACACACACACACACACACACACACACACACACACACACACACCGTTAAAATGCAACAGTGCTGTTTTAAAAAGCATTGCCTGCTTGATTAGGGTGAATGCCAAATGCCGCTGCCTGATGATCACTGAAATGCGTGAAACTTGAAGTCCAGCCGCGGCTACACAGCCTTTCGCCTCCGTTGTATGTGTACATGAATAACATGCAGTACACAGCAGCTATACCTAGCTCATGCAGACACTCTCCGGAGTGTTGATGTACAGGTGCACATCATTCACCTTGTGCGCACTGATCATAGACAGTATGACAATCATGCAGAGGCATAGCCGCATGGCCCACCTGCTAGGTAGAGAGATGCACGGTCAAAATATTATTGAAACAGCGTGTATTTCGTAGTACAACAGTAGGCCTGCACACTCGGATAAGTTAAACAGCTGTTCAGCTGCAGCTAGCTAGTACAAGTACAAGTAGACTCTGCGCACTTTCACAGCAGGCACATACATGTACTAGTAACTGCGTCCTTTTTAGGCCATTTGGCCCAAGCATGCGGCACATTCTGAATGAATAGCAGAAAGATTCTAGAGGGGGGGGGGGGGGTCTGCACTGCACATGCCCTCTGTGCCCCTTGTGGGCTGTGTGCCTAAAATGAGTCGGCTCATAGCCACTAGAAATGCGTGCATAAACCAACCTCTGCAACGCCGAAATCACAGATCTTGACGACGTGCTGATGAGTTAGCAGCAGGTTGTCAGGCTTCAGGTCCTTGTGGATCACCCGCTGACTATGTAAGTATTCTACTCCCAGTATTGTCTGGCAGAAGTAGCTGTGAAATGACAATATCCACATGAAAAAAGGAAATCGTGACTGGCTATGATTCACAGTCATGGCATGCTTGGAGGCACGTAGCCGGAGTATCCTCCAGTCCTATGTCTTTTCATCCTTTCTCAGCACTAACCATAGCTTCAAGAGTTACTAAGCTCCCAAGAGTGTGCAACTGTGGATACCCATTTTATGGGGTATGCTGGCGGTGAAAACGCACATGAAGTTGTGTGGAATTCACGTTGTACGTGATCAGCTTGTTTTAAGCAAGCAGTGGAGCAGTGAAATACTGCGGCACTCATGGGCTCACTACACCACAGTAATTGGGTGAGGACAAGGTGAAGAAAAGAGATTGACGGCACCAAGGTCACATGATCCGCCCCGGGATCCAACTGCATTTACCCCTGCCCCAGTCGAGGATGAATATGTGCCACTAGCAGTACTGAGTACTAGTATGGGTGGCTTCACTATCACCAATGCGGATTACACAGGAGTCAATCTTGCCAGAAGTAGCTCAGTCATTAGTTAACAGGTAGGCACACATAAAATAGAATGCATGAATCCTGAAACCAACAAAGGTGGGAGGTACACCAACACACCTTCAAGCAAAAAAGCCTGTCAGCAACAGACCGAACACTACCTGGGATACATGTAACCACCAACCGAACTATCAGTAGCTGACAGTACACACAGACACACAGACACACACACGTACACGTACATGCACACACACATACACAATCTGCACTAACAGGAACCTGTGCCAAGCAATCAGACCGGGCCGGACTCAACCGAGCCGTGATCACCTGCTTACTTGTGTCCTTGCTGGATTGGAAACTTCTGATCACGTGTACTCCTGAGCATCTCTTCAAGCGGACACACACAGTACTCCATGACCATATATGTGCGGCATGTACATTGTCAAGGAAATCACTGAAGAGACGGGATGTCGGTTGCTTTCGACCTTTGGCACAAATCATTGAACTCAGCAACCGAGAATTTTAAAGTACATCGTGGGCAACCTACCTATCACTAGTATCACTAGGCTATCACTACCTATCACTACCTATCACTACCTATCACTACCTATCACTACCTATCACTACCTATCACTACCTATCACTACCTATCACTACCTATCACTACCTATCACTACCTATCACTACCTATCACTACCTATCACTACCTATCACTACCTATCACTACCTATCACTAGGCTATCACTAGGCTATCACTAGGCTATCACTAGGCTATCACTAGGCTATCACTAGGCTATCACTAGGCTATCACTAGGCTATCACTAGGCTATCA